ACCATTCTGAAGAAGCTCTTTGTTCACATTACTGTACAGTGAATGGCATCTGTCCTTAAAGACCTCAACTTGTCTTTTGTTTTGGTCCTTCTGGTCACCCTTCCCCTCAGCCTGGTGGGACAGGCAGTCAAAACTTTTCTTCTTGTAAATGAGGTTCCCTTTGTCCAAGCTTTGTTTACGTCTGAACTGAGACAAGGCTGCACTCAAAAGGTACTGTGATGATGTCAGTGGTGCCTTCACGGTCTGGGAGTCCTGCCTCTGATCTGTTTGCCTGATTCACGTCGAGCCAAGGGAGCTTCTCCTAGCCTTGTTGTTGTTCAGTCGCTCAGTTGTGTCTGACTCTTTGTGACCCCATGGACTGCAGCACACCAGGCTTCCCTGTCCTTCCCTGTCTCCCAGAGTTGGCTCAAACTCATGTCCATTGAGTCGGTGATGCCATCCAACCATCTCATCCTCTGTTATCCCCTTCTCCTCCTGCCTTCAGTCTTTCCTAGCATCAGGGTCTTTTCCAATGAGTCGGCTCATTGCATCAGGTGGCTGAAGTATTGGAACTTTAGCTTCAGCATCAGTCCTTCCAATGAAAATTCAGGACTGATTTCCTTGGGGATTGACTGGTTTGATCTTCTTGCAGTCCAAGGAAGTCTCAAGAGTCTTCTCAAGCACCACAGTTTGAAGGCATCAGNCCTGGTATCTCAGCTAGTAAAGAATCTGCCTGCAATGCAGGAGACCCCTGTTCAGTTCCTGGGTTGGGAAGATCCGCCTGGAGAAGGGATAGGCTGCCCACTCCAGTGTTCTTGCCTCAGTGCCCTTAGCAGTGAAAGTGCGAAGTCCCAACCACCTGGACCACCACGGAATTCCATAGTAACATTTTATTTTATTTTTTTCCATTTATTTTTATTCATTGGAGGCTAATTACTTTACAATATTGTAGTGGTTTTTGCCATACATTGACATGAATCAGCCATGGATTTACATGTGTAGCATTTTATTAAGCGGAGAACAGGAGCTTTTTTCCTGTGCCATTAAAAATTTATCAAGAGCACTCTTTGATGGGATAATACATTTTAGTTTACATTTTTAATGGGTATTAGGTTATTTCAAAACTGAAATAGTAGATATAGAAGTGTGTGGAATGAGTAGCCTCACTCCCACCCTACTGTCCAGGCCCTAACCCCAGGGCTGGTACCCCTTTGATTGGTGCCTTGAACTTCACTTCTATACCTTCCTACTGCAAAAATAAGTAGATACAACTTGATACTCTTCCTTCCCCATTTTTGCACCCAAGGTAGTGTATCACACCCACCCTGTGTAGCCGGCTCTTGCTTTCCTGTTACGGTTTATCTTTTAGATGTTTTCATAACTGCACATGGAATGCCATCTCATTCTTCAAAAGCACCTTTAAATTCTTTTAAAGCAGTTCACTCGATCATTTTTTTTTAATCTTGCAGAAAGATAGTGAATGAAAAATAAGCGTCATTTTTCTCCCCAGTCCCACTCCTAATCTGTTATCAGTGTTGCTGTTTTCTTACATACTTTCCCAGAATTATTTTTGTGTTTGTACCCTCATGAGTATGTGTGTGTGTATTTATGTGTATAACTCATTTTTTTTAAAGCCAGGCATCTCCTATGGACATGTCATAATTTCTTGAATCATTCCTCTATAGTTGTACCATTAGATTCTTTTTTCTTTTACTTGTCTAAGCCTGGAACGAGGAATCATCTTTGATGTAAATTTTTGTTGACATCTTTGTTTTCTCTGGATAAATCCTAGGAGTGTGATTTCTGGGTCAAAGGATGGAGATGTTTTAGGGATCTTGGTACACATAACCTCATGGCTTCCCCCAAGGGATTGTACCTGCTCCCACCCTAGACGCCCTGAGGAAAATGACAGTCCCTCTAACAACAGGGCCACCCCAACTCCCAGCCCAGGGAGTTCCTGGTATTTTGTTCATCGCAGCACTATTTACAATAGCAAAGACATGGAAGAAACCTAGATGTCCATCAACAGATGAATGGATAAAGAAATTGTCATACATATATGCAGTGGAATACTATTCAGCCATAAAAAGGAATGCACGTGACTCAGTTGAACTGAGGTGGATGAGCCTAGAGCTTGTTATACAGAGTGAGATAAGTCAGAAAGAAAAAAACAAATACTATATATTAACACGTATATATGGACTCTAGAAAAATGGTACTGAGTAACCTGTTTGCAGGTCAGTAACAGAGACACAGGCATAGAAAATGGACTTGTAGACACAGCAGAGGAAGGAGAGGATGGGACAAATTCAGAGAGTAGCACTGACATATATTCACTGCCATGTGTAAAATAGCTAGCCGGGGGAAGCTGTGGTTTAACACGGGGAGCTCAGCGTGGTGCTGTGACGACCTGGAGGGGTGGGATTGGCAGAGTAGGGGAAGGGAGGCTCAAGAGGGAGAGGATATGCATATATATCTCTCTCCACGGACAGAGGAGCCTGGCAGGCTGCAGTCCAAGGTTTGCAAAGAGTCAGACGCTGCTGAGCGGCTGTCGCATGGCTGATTGGTGCTGTGTGGTAGAAACCAGCACAACATTGTGAAGCAGTGATCCCCCAATTAAAACAGAGAAAGAAGGAAGAAATTGACGTTTTCTCAAGTGCTCTGGCAGGTTTCTCTTTGCTGGACTTCAAAGACTCTCTCAACATCAGCTCCTCAGCAAAGCCTGCTGCCCAGAGCCCAGTTGAATTGCTGATTAGCTCCAGGAACCTGGAAAGGGCTCAGCTTGGCCATCCTCCATCTGGGCTGCCGAATAGAGGGTGAGACACCCCAAGGGTTGCTGGCAGATGAGAGTCTGGTGTCAAGGATAGCACACTGCTGTTCCTTCTCAGTGCTTGTCATGTTATTCAGTGAGTGAGTGAGTGAAAGTCGCGCAGTCGTGTCCGACTGTTTGCAACCCCATGGAATTCTCCATGCCATGGAATTCTACAGTCCATGGAATTCTCCATGCCAGGATACTGGAGTGGGTAGCCATTCCCTTCTCCAGGGGATCTTCCCGACCCGGGGAACAAACCTAACCCCAAGGACTATATACAGTCCATGGAATTCTCCAGGCCAGGATATTGGAGTGGGTAGCCATTCCCTTCTCCAGGGGATCTTCCCGACCCGGGGAACAAACCCAGGTCTCCCGCATTGCAGGCGGATTCTTTACCAGCTGAGCCACCCGGGGAGCCCCGTGTTGTCGTATTACTATTAGAGCAAACAAGTCAGTCAGGGAGACCTTCCCCCTGCCTGGCACTGTTCCACACACACAAGACGTGTCAGCTCCTCTTGTGCTCACAGTAACCCTGTGCCTATGGCCATTATACCCATTTCACCACCAAGGACAGTGCAACACAGAGAAGTCGGGTGACTTGCTCATGGCTGCGCTGTTAGGGGCTCAGGACTAGGTCAGGAGCCATGTGGTCCCAGAGCCCAGGCTGCCTAACCGTCCCTCTTCTGCCTCCCAGAGGAGCCTGCTGTTTCTTTAGGGACTGCCTCCTGGTGTCTTCTCCTCTGTTCAGCCAGAGCTTTGTCAAGTCTCTCCTCCTCCCATCACCTTGGAGCTGCCTTTTCCTCTTGTTTGCTAAGGGTTGGTAGTAGAAAAGCCTTGAAAGTAGAACAGATCTGAACTTGTCTCCCCTTCCTACGTGTGCGGCCTTGGACAAGTTCGGCCTCTGCGAGCCTATCTTCCCTCATCTGGGGGACATTACCCACCCCCGGAATCATTATCACGATTTTAAAAAATCATTTAAAAAGTTACTCATTTGGCTGCGGCGATTCTTAGTTGCGGCATGTGGGATCTAGTTCCCCAACTAGGGATTGAACTCGGGCACCCTGCTTTGGGAGCACAGTATCTTAGTCACTGGACCACCAGGGAAGTCCCCGTTCACCACAATTAATGATGATCGAGGGTAACATAAATGCCCTGAAGGTGCACAGTGTGAAATGAAGGGCCCGTTTCCCTCGTCACCTCTCCCTCTTCTCTGTTCCATTGGATTCCTCTCAGTTTTGATCCACAGTCTTAAATTCTGTCCAGTTCACATTCCTTTTCTTCTTTTAAAGAGATGCATTTCATTTTTTGGCTGTGCTGGGTGTTCATTGCTGCACGTGGGCTTTCCCTGGTTGTGGCGAGTGGGGGCGACTCTGTAGTTGGACTGCTTCTTCTTGCAGTGACTTCTCCTGTTGCTGAGCACAGGCTATAGGGCGCAAGGGCTTCAGTATTGGGGTGCTTGGGCTTAGTTGCCCCAGGACATGTGGGATCTGAACCAGGGACAGAACCCGTGTCCCCTGAATTGGCAGGTGGATCCTTAACCACAGGACCACCAGGGAAGTCACCTCCAGTTCACAAACGATCCTGTCACAAAAGGAAACTCACTCCCAGGGTCTGATAACATCATGATTGACTGAACATCTACCAGTGCCAGCTGTCTGCTGTCTGCGAGAATTACCATCCCGCCAGGCGATTTAGCATCCTGCACCCTGTCCTGTTCTCATGGGGCCCTTCTGAGTCAGAGGAGAAGGTTATACTCAGCTGCCTTAAATTGCCTACACATGAGGGGAAAGGATGGAGCCGTCTCGGGGGACAGAAATTGGCCCCTGTGTTTGCACACCAGGTGTGTCTGTGCATGTGACCGTCACCCTGGTCACAGTGACTTTTTTTTTGCCATTGCATATTTGATATCACACCTCTCAGCTCTGAATTAGGCCTCTCTCGCTCCAAAATTACATGCTTTTTCACGTCCACAATGATCTCAATGGGATTAACAGCTCTTTTTTCCCGTGAAGGTAATTGAGACCTTTCATGGTGGCATATTTTTATTACTGTAACTCCGTCTCTAACCATCCTTCCACAAAATCTCTTACTGTTTTCCAGTAACTGCTTCTTCACCTCGTTCTGAATAGGAAATGTTCAGGGACCGTTGAGAGGCAGAATTTCCCGTGATTATGCAAACCATGGTAACCATGATGTGTTTTCTCTCTCCCCCTCCCCCCTCTCCTGATGGCAGGTGCCTGGAGATTTGAGTCAAACTTCTGAAGACCAGAGTTTATCGGATTTTGAAATGTAAGTCCATGGCTCTTGCTCATGAAGGGCCTTTTAGAAACAGGATTCTTGTTGCTTGGCTCACGTCCCAGGAGACCACAGCAAAGAAAAAAAAAAAAAAGACTGTTTAAATCTGCGAGGCTGATTTGGTTATTGTAGAGTTGGGGAGTTGTCCGCCTGCAGCCTGAGTCCGGCCTTTAGATGTGTTTTTAATCTCCCTCCATGGGTGTTGAAAAACAATTTAATCTTTTTGGCTGACATTTAAGAGTTGGAAGATGCCACATGAAAATTTAAATTTCTCCAGTTTCTTTAGAAGAAGAAATCCCAGCAAGGCCACCATCAGCTGGAGCTGAACGGCAGCCGCCTCTGCTGTATGGGGCGCGTGCCCCTCCGCTTGCCTCAGTCCCCACTCATCCGGCCCACTCCACTGGTTCCATTGTCTGGGTGTCTCCTGTTCCAGTTTTGAGTTTGCAGGCCCAGAGTTATTGGAAACACAAGAGTTCAGTACCTTGGTCTGATTTTTGATTGGATTTAATTCTATCTGGTGCCTCTGCCGATAACCCCTAGGCTATTTAGTTGGTCTTCAGGCTGACTCCTTCTGATTGAGGTGCCTTGGTTTTTGGACCAAATAGCCCCGTGGGGCTGCTGAAGAGAGTGGAGTGAGTCCCGGGTCAGGGTCAAGCAGAACCTCCCTCTTCTCATTCAGTTGTGCTGAGTGGAGGAAGGTTTAGCCTCCCCAAGAGATGGTGTCTTCTGTCCATCTGCTTCTGGAGACAGAGGGAGGGACATTTTGAGGAAGAGCACTTTGTTAGAGCCGGGCTGAGCCAAGTTGAAACCTTAGCTGCAGGACTCACAGCTAAGTGAGTGAGATCACTTACCCGGTGTGACCTTGGGTAAGCCACTTAACCCCTCTGGGCCTGAGTTTCCTCATTCATAAGGTGCAGATCACAGCTGGCCTTGTGAGGCCGAAGTAGAGAGAGGAGGAGAGAGTAGGCAGGGGGCGTCAAGAGGCCCTAAGTGCTGGTGAGGGGGTCATGGAAGTTAGAGGTGAAGGAGGAGAAGGAGAGAGATGGTCGCGTAAACAATCAATTCTAATACAGTGTGATACAGACTCTGAAAGGGGAACGCACCTAACCAGCCTGTGTGATCTCTTGGGAGGTTAATGAAAATGGGAGTATTAGTTACAGTTCTGCACCCTTCCTCTGGCTGACAGAAATGAAGGGGGAACACTGATCACTAGCACAGTTTTGGGGGTCTTTCCAGGAGAGGTGTCGTTAGGTACCCAAGCCAATTCAGTGGCTCAGAATTGCAGGTTGTACTCAGATCCCTAGGGAGGTGATCAATAGGGCTTATTTTGCCCTATGAAAGGGGGTCAGCGCCTTGGCTCAGAGCTTAGAAGAAATGCTGTTTCAGGAGAGAATCATTTCTTTGTGAAAATGAAATGCTCTTTACCCTGGAGGTTGTGAGGCTGTTGAGTCATGGAATCTTCCATCATCAGCGCGTCAAACTGTGTTCCAAGCACAAGAGGCTGGCGAATTTTTATGATCTGCTCTTTAGAGAGAAGGAGAGCTTGAGAAAAAGTGTTTGTCCCTGGAACGGCTCTGAATGGAAGCAAGGACTGGGACCTCCCAGCCCTTCCAGAAATGCGCAGTACTGTTATGAGAGCTGTTAGGAGTGATCTGGAAGTTTCAGTGACAACTTATCAGCTCTGCATGATGTTGATCCAGCTGTCAAAGAGTGGTGATGGTGGGCGTGTGCACCCATGACTCAGAGTGTGGTTAAAGTCATCCAATAAGGCAGAACTGTCATGCTACTGAAAGAACCCTTGAAGTTCCCTCAAGTAACCTTCAAGGATCAACTGAGATGATCTGGGTGAAAGCATGGATCCGTCCATGGTACATGCTCAGTAAATGATTCTGCATTTGAATTTAAATCTTGCTTTATTCAACCCTGACTTCAGACTATACCACAAAGCTACAGTAATCAAGACAATGTGGTACTAGCACAAAAGCAGAAAAATAGATCAACAGAACAGAATAGAAAGCCCAGGGACAAACCTATGCACCTGTGGATACCTTATCTTCGACAGAGGAGGCAAGAATATGCAGTGGAGAAAAGACAGCCTCTTCAATCAGGAGTGCTGGGAAAACTGGACAGGTGCATGTGAAAGAATGAAATGAGAATACTCCCTAACATTGTAAACAAAAATAAGCTCAAAGTGGATTAAAGGCCTAAATATAAGGCCAGACACTTAAAACTCTTAGAGGTAGGCTTCCCTGGTGGCTCAGTGGTAAAGAATTCGCCTGTCAATTCAGGAGACATGGGTTCAATTTCCTGGTCTGCAAAGATCCCACATCCCGAGGAACAACTAAGCCCAGCACCACAACTTCTAGACAAGAATACTGGAGAGGGTTCCCATTTCCTCCTCCAGGAGATCTTCCTGACCCAGGGATTGAACGTGGGTCTCCTGCATTAGCAGGCAGGTTCTTTATAGACTCAGCCACCAGAGAAGCGCCACCCCCCCTTAAAATGGGGGTCAGGGTCTAAAGTGGGCACAGTGAGGAGGCTGCATGAATCATCTGAACACTGTAGAAACCCTGTGAGCATTAGTGCTCTTGACCCTCCCTAGCCTCGTGGAGTCTTCCTGTGATCAACCCCCTCTTCAGATGAGCAAAATGAGGTTCAGATAAATTACAGGCCACTTCACTCAGGTAGTAGGAACTGAAGGGCAGCTGTCTCTCATTCCAGAATGTGAACTGCATCTGTAAATTTTACACACACACACACACACACACACACATACACATATACACACGAGCATTTTAAACTAAGTCCATTAAAAATAATCTTGGGCGACCAAGTAGTGAAACTGGGAACTGCTCCTTTAGTCTACTATCAAGTGTAACACATGTTGTCATACATTGTATGCCTCTTAGAGGAGAATATTAATAGCTTCCTCCCTTTTTTTGTAAATTGAAATGATCCATTTCGATCTTTCTTCTGTTTAGATCAAACCGAGCTCTGATCAACGTCTGGATCCCATCAGTGTTTCTCCGAGGCAAAGCTGCCAACGCCTTCCATGTGTATCAGGTAATTACCTGGTTTTCAGTTAGACGCCACTGTCAGGGCAGAGCCCACCCTTGCTTGTTATTCTCTGGAGCTTTTGCATCTCGGTGGTGGAGTGTGGAGCGCCATACAGAGAAGCCACGACCTCCCAACGCCAGCAGCTACCTGCCCACGCTCCCCGAGGCAACGGTCCTTCCATCAGACAGGAGGAGCCTGGGGGCGCTTCCTCGTGCTGGCCGGGGTTCCTGGTGTGGCTGGGACCAGTCAGTTTAGGCTGCTTGGGCAGAAAAGCAGGGCTTTGATGGCGTGTGTTAAACTGAAGAGTCCGGACATGGGTCTGGCCTCAGGCTTGGCTGGATCTCTGGTCAGGAACCTGCTACTATTTTCTCCTGGCTCCTCTGCCAGGGCATCTTTTCCAGGCTAGTTCTCTCTGTAGGTGGAACAGTCGGCTCCCTAAAGCACCAGACTCTCAGCCAGTCTGGCGTCTCTCAAGGGTCTGTCTTGGACCCCAGGCACATCCCTGAAGCCAGGGGTGGAGTGATGGACTTCTGTGATGGGCCAGGTTCAAATCATGTGACNTGTCTTTTCCAGCCCTGCCTACTTACCCTCTTTTTTCCTTTCTTCTTTCTCTTTCTTTTCTTAACTGAACTCCAGCCATTGGTGTTTCGTCCTGGGACTGTTTGGTTTTCAACTTTGACTCTTAACTGCTTCTGGTTCCACTGTCATCTTGTATCACAACAGCTTTCATTAGGTTTTGTTCTTATTCCCATGAGCTCTGTGAAAACCCTTTTTTTTTTTTTGTCATTTTTCTTAGTGGGAAATTGACCATTGAAGAAGTTTTCTCAGCTATTAAGGCATTTCTCCTGGAGACTGGGGTAGGGCTGAAAGGATGCTGAACTTGAGAATAGGGGCCCTGGTTTCACTTTTATGGCCTTAGGGAAATCTCAGTTTCCTCATCTGTAAAACGGAGATCATAATAATGCTTACTTTGGAAAGCTTTTGTCAGGACAAGGAATGCACGGTATCTAGTAGGCACTTGGGATTCGTTTCTTATCTTCTGAATTGGTTGCTGCCTTTGGTCACTGGTGCCAGGACTGGCAGTGGGCGTGGGTTATATAGGGATGGGCCTGAGCATGTTACATGCCTCTTACCTGAAATCTTCTGGACAGATGAGCTAGAGTTTGGCAAGGAAGTTTGCACTAGAACATCATGTTAGTTTGCTTGTTTGGCCGGGCGACAATAGCACTTTAGTAAATGTTAGAGAATCTATGTGTTCATGATGCTCTCAGTTCTGGCTTGAAAAGAGAATTGGAGATGACAGATTTCTGAATGTCCTTGTCTCCTTTTTATCCCAAGCCAAACCAAGAAGACACCCTCTTATTTGAATGTCCTGTAATTTCTGCTTTGCGATCGTCAGAAAGCTGGGGTGTTGCCTGGTGGAGGGAGAGAGGGAAGCAGATGGCTTTATTTTAGAGCAGAATTAAAATGCGAGCTCCCTGGAGAGGTTTCCTTGACTTTCATTTCTGACTCCTCCCCCACCTCACCCCGGCAAGTCACAGGGCCGTTTTCAGTGACCAGAAGCCTGTTAAGGAACGAGACAGACACAGCGTTGCCCGGGAGATTGTTCCCACAGTGGTCACAGTGGCGTTCGAGCCACGCTCGCCCCATGCTTGACCAGTTTCCAGAGCTTTCCTGGGTGTGGTCCAGCCCACCGCAGAGGACGAGGCCCAGATCACATGGAGCCGCGCGGGCCTAGCAGGCCCCGCACCACCCAGGGCAACTGCATCCCGCGCTGCCGGATCTCTGAAAATCCCCTCTGGTCTTGGAGTGTATGGAGCAGCATTTCTGGAATGTAACTGTCTCTCTCCTTTTTGCAAACAGTGCTTCCGGTCAGAGCCTCAAGAGCAGGCTCCGAGCACGTGTCTGGAAGCTTTCGAGAAAGGCTTTGGTACAGTGCGCTTTGTTTTGACTTTGTTGTTTTTTAAACCATAAGCGATAATTGGAGAGAGAGTGACTCATTTAAACTGCTGGTACCGTTGGACTTTTTACTAGCTTAAAAATACATTTTATATAATTCCACAAAAGATTTGAGATAATTTCTAGAGAAACTCAGAAATGAGTGATAAAATAGAAGAGATAAAATATCGGAGTCAGAGAAAATGTGAAGTAAGAGCACTCTCATTAAGGGAACACTGGAAATCACACACACACACACACACACACGTTTATAATGAAAGCCATATAGATACATGTATGTGTTTATAATGAAAGCCTCCATGGTTGCTCTCATTAGTTTGATAGTTTTCCTTTGTGCATCCTGGCAGCCAGTGTGAAATTGGAAATGTAGCTGTTTTGGGTAAGTCCATTACTAATTGGAAGAAGATATGTCAGTTCCTCAAAGAGAGGTCTAAAAGAAATGTCCTTACAGGACTTTAGACTAAGCAATAGAGGACATGGTAGACAGTGCCCTGTTACATCCCTGTGACAAATTGCTGTCAGGTTTACTTAGGATCTCCCTCCAAGGAAGCTAAGTGCATAACCATGGAAAGAACCTTAAGTCCATTTGAAGAGCCCAGACGAAAGGATCAGCATGTGTAGCTTTTCCAGCAGATCTGCACAGCAGGTCCAGTCCAGCAGCCGCTAGCCTCATGTGGCCATTTAAGTTTGGCTTAATTGAAATTTAACTCGAGTCCCTCAGACACACCATCAGCACTTGAGGTGCTTCATAGCCACATGTGGCTGGTGGCTGCCACATTGGACAACATAAATACAGAACGTTTCCATCACCACAGGAAGTCCCGGATGGTGACCATTTAGATCAGTCTCTCCCGGAGTGGCCGGAAGCTAGATGTCTTCTTTGTCCATGGGATTTCCCAGGCAAGAACACTGGAGTGGGTTGCCATGCCCTCCTCCAGGGGATCTTCCCAACCCAGGGATCAAACTTGCATCTCTTAGATCTCCTGCCTTGGCAGGTGGGTTCTTTAACACTAGTGCCGCCTGCACAGGATTCTATTTTTCCATTTAGCATGGTGATGTGCAGTTTCCTTTTAAAATAAACTCAAGAAAGAAAATGATTCAGTTTAAAGAAAAATACTAGATATATGATACTGGAAACAACAAGAAGTTTAGGACGGTGATACGTGAATGAATAACACTTGGGAAATGCCACCTCTCACTGGCCTAAATATGTTATATAAAGCAGCTCGTTCAGTTCTCACAGAAACCCTGTGAGGCAGCAAGTGCTTATTCTCCCCATTTTGTAGATGGGAAAACAGGATACAGAGAAGCAGCTCATTTGGAAACATGTTTTCCAGAACTTCTCTAGTGGTCCAGTGGTTAAGGCTCTGTGCTTCTGCTGCAGGGGGCACAAGTTCAGTCCCTGGTTGGGGAAGTTCCACATGCTGCATGGTGCAGCCAATAAGAATTATAAAAATAATTTTCAGAAAAGAAACATGATTTTCACACCCTAAAGCATTTCCGGACAAGGTACCAGTTTTCACAGATTCTATAAATGCGGGCGGAGTCCAGCTTTAGCAATCCAGGGAGCAGATTGGTCGGTTGCCTCGGAAGGACCCAGCCTGACCAGGAGCTTGCCTGTGTGGATAGCCGCCTGCATCCCGTGGACCAAGGACCCCCTGTGGCCAAGCCAGGGATGCCTTGTGCCTCTGTTCCGAGCTCCCTGCAGCACACACATCAGAGCCCTGCAAAGCCCAGAGCAGTCTGTGGTTAAAGCGGGTGCCTGTTGGCCGTGACTGCTCTTGTTTGAGGGGCAGCACGGTCCCCAAGCCTGCCCGGACGCTTGGGAACTGGAGTACTTCTGACCACAGAGGAGGAGCTGAACTGGCTCACCAGCTGCTCGTAGTTTCCTGGCTCTTAGTGCTTGTTTGTGGAAGGGGTCTGGGTATGTATTTTGCACCCAGGATTCTGGCCAGAAGCGCTGTAGTCCCTTGATAGGACTGAATGCAAGTTATTTGAAAGTGTTTGTATCTCTGAACACTGCGGTTTCCACGCTCTGCTCCCATGTCCTGAGGTGGGCGCTGAGGTGTGCTCTGGCATAAAAGTAAGAAGTGGCAGCCTTTGGCCAGTTTTCAGGACAAAAGTAAAATTGATGTCCAGAACTTTCCCAACTTAACTTTTTATTCTGCGAAGATTTCTTACTTCTGGCCCCTAATACAATGCTTGGCTGCCTGCATACACATGCCAGAGACAAAATGATTAAACAGCACCAAATAGAATAGAAAAACAAAATGAAACCCTGTTTACTAACTGGTCTTGCTTAGTTTCTATGTGTGTGTGTAAACACACAGTTATGCTGGTGCAGTTTGACTTTCTGTCCCTTCCACGTGACATGGTTACATTTGTCATTTATCAGTTAGTTCCTAGTTTATACCTTTGCAAGTGTTTGCTCTTATTCCCCAAATACCCCGACTTCCGAACAAGTTTGAGGTCCACTGTCTTAATATCCTACCGTAGTATTTACAAAGGCACGTTAGGCCTTAAAACAATCCACCTACTTTTTTTTTTTTCCTTAAGCCAACATTACAGCCACCAAATTGACAGGAACTAATACATCAATACACTTATTCTCTGAATCTTTAGATCTTTCCCTTTGAAAAACACCAGTAGCATAAATACAGCTGAAATCAGTCCTTTCTATGGCATTCATTTCAGCCTTTGAATTTCACCAGCAGAAGCACTGGCTATGGTACCATATTCCACTTGCCCAGATTTCCTTTGTAAAGACAGTTGCTTTGTTTCTCCAAAGCTTATTTGTTCTAGAATAAGACCACAGCGGGGCTGTCTTGACTTGGAGAAAAGACGGTGTCCCAGGAAGACTTATTCAGTTTTGGGGTTCCCCTACCCCTTGAAGGATATCATGCAGCATAGGCAGGAGTTTTCAAGGTTTATCCTGGCAGAGCATATTTATATATGCCGTGCAGGGAAAATCCGTGATTTTTTGTGTTAATAATAGATCACACGGTCTGGTGGGCTGCATAGGAGGATGGCGATGCTTTTGTACCTCA